CACCGGCGGTGAGTCAGACCGGGCGGGAGGGGGCCTCGGTGGGCAGCGACCTCCCATCCGCACCCCGAGGCGGGCTCGGCCGGCCGCGGGCTCTGCTAGGGCGCCCGGCCTGCGGGGGGCGCCTCCCTCAGTCGCCCCCGTCTGGCATCGGGCACCGCGTCCTGCGGCCCGGCAGCTCGCCGTCACGGAACGGAATTGCGTTCGCGGGAAAGTGGGCTGCTGCGGGCTGGTTGGCGGGGCAACTCCCCCTGCCCCCTGCCACTTCTCCTCTAGGCGTGTTGTTGTCCTCAAGTGACAGGGGGACGCCTTGCATCTCCTCGCCCGGCCGGGTTTTTTCCCCTCTCCCCGGCTGTTGTGGCAGGTTCCCCGTGTGTGACTTGTGCGTGTGTATTTCCCAGCTCTGCTTATCGCGGTGGTTAGGGGTTATTTGTGCTTTTGGGACACGGAAGCGGTTTCTGGAGAAGACGGTGGGGGTGGGAGGGTGGGTGTGGAAGCTTTTCTGTCCTCTCCGCTTATGTTCTGTAATCGCTACGTTTGTAATTTGTAATGATGGTGGAGACGACGTGGGAACAGCCCTCCTAATGTGTGTCTGTGCAAGGCTAGAGGTCTGGCTCACAGAGAAACTTTTGCTGTCTGCCTGTCGCCACTTTCAAAGCTTTGTTTAAAAAAAAAAGAAAGAAAACGGAAAAAGGAGACCACTAAAACTCTTGGGTAAGGCCCACACCATTCACAGGTTTGTGGGGAAGAGTCCCTTTTTGTGCCTAGCAACCCAGACCTAAGGCTCGGTCTCCAGGAGCGTCTAACCTCCAGTTTGTTGTGGTGACGAACCTTGAGCTATGGCCTGTGTTTATGCTGGGCGCGCGTTCCTTCCTGTTTGGGGAGGGGGCTGAAAAGGGGAAGGGAGAAAAAACAATCCCAAGCTCCAATAAGTCTTTTCTCTACTTAACCGATTCAGTTCTAGATAGGCTAATTTTAAGGTAGTCCTGGATATTTTTTCTTTTTCGGTTAATGACGCTGAGAATTCTCAGGAATTGCATCAAAATATTAGTTTTACCTACAGATTCTTCCGCCTCAATCTGTTCTTTATCTTATTTGTTTCTTAGTAACTCTAGTGGAAACAGCAGCGTGGCTTCCTGCTTTAGATGAAGTGGGGCTAAATTAAGTGGTTGATGCCCTCACCGATGTTCCTGAAGGCTTCC